AAAGTATGTCAAGCAGCGAAAAATTAGCAATGTTTTTAAATATCTTGGCTCACCATGAGAAAAATAGATCAATCAAGGTTGATTATATTAGATCGGGATGGAGCGTAAGTCAGGTTTTCAATGAATGCTTGAGTGCTATTCTCAAACTAACTCCATTGCTACTTATTAATCCTAAACCAGTACTTGAGGATGAGATTGAAGATCGATGGAAATGGTTTGAGGTAGGTGAAACTGTCGTTTATCATCTTTTAACTTGTATACAAAATATGCAGTTTTAACAGTTTTAGAAAAATATTATATATTTTGAGATAACACTATAATGTATCTTAAAGGGTTGTTTAGGTGCACTAGACGGTACTTACATTCCCATTAGAGTTCCAATCCAACACAAACCAAGATATAGAACAAGAAAATGAGAGATAGCAACTAATGTTTTGGGAGTTTGTGATAGAAATCTCAATTTTACTTATGTGTTACCTGGATGGGAAGGTTCAGCTGCCGATGCTCGTGTATTACGAGATGCTATAGTACGAAGGAATGGTTTGAAAATTCATGAGGGTAGGCCTTATATATGCTTTCAAGTTACATCATAGAAAGAATGGTACTAGTAACTAAATTATATGTTTATATTATAGGTAACTATTATTTGTGTGATGGAGGATATACGAATGGAAAAGGATTTCTTTCACCTTATCGAGGTTATAGATATTGGTTAAAGGATTGGCGAGGCGATAATCCATCGCCTCAATGTAAAGAAGAGCTTTTCAACATGAGGCATGCTAGAGCTCGTAATGTAATTGAAAGGGCATTTGGTTTGTTGAAAGGACGTTGGGGAATTCTTAGAAGTTCTTCATGGTACTCGGTTAAGGTTCATAACAGGATCATTAGTGCTTGCTGCTTGATTCATAATTTCATTCGTAGAGAAATGGAAGTGGATCCCTTAGACATTGATATAGAAGAACATATGAAGTATCAACACGAGAATATTGATGTTATTGAATCGTCGGAGGAGTGGACCACTTGGAGGGATGAGCTGGCTCAATCAATGTGGAATGCAAGATATAACAATTGACATATTGCTACTTGTTAGCTATAGAACCTTTTTGGACTTCATTTGCTCTTTAGAACTGGCCTAGTATAAATTGTTTAACTGCCAAAAACTTCTGTTTTTTTGTGACCTTAATTGCACACCCTTATGTACTCTTCACATTTCTTTTGTTGTATGCTTTAGTTTATAGTGAATCTTATGATATTTGGTTCTTCCTGATTTTTTTGATAATCTGTCGCACAAGTTCTTACAGGCGAAATGAATAGTCAAACATCATCAAATAAGAAATCAAAAAAATCAAGCAACACAACACCTTCAACACGAAGGACATGGATTCCAGAAGAAGAACAAACTCTTTTAGACGGGCTTAAAGAGTTGTGTGCTAATGGTTGGAGAGGTGATAATGGAACCTTTAGACCAGGACACTTGATGGAGTTAGAACGTTATATACACAAATATCATCCTACAAGTGGATTGAAAGGTGAACCACACATCAAAAATAAAATGAGATATTGGAAAAGATGCTATGGAAGTATAGCTTTGTTGAAGACTCGAAGTGGTTTGGGATTTCAATATAGTGATGGAACTATAATAGTTGACGATCCAAAACATTGGATTGACTTTATAAAGGTAATTAATATATTTTTGTTATTTCATATGGTACTTTCCTTATTAGTTCCTTTAATTATTCATAGTTGATGTGCCTTTAAACTAGCGATCAAGTAAATTGTTATCATCACATATATAGTAGCATCTAGCCTCTCTTTAGATCCTTTTACAGTTAATTAATATCATATTGTTCTATTTTATTTTTTAATTTTCTAGATTGATCCACAAGCCAAGAAAATGAATACTAAGAAATGGCCACTATTTGAGGATTGGGAAGAAATATTTGGTAAGGATAGAGCAACAGGAGAGTTCGCTGAAGGGCCGCTAGATGCTACTGAAGAAATTCAAAAGAGTCAAGCTCCACAACATTCTAATGACATGAGTTTGGGATTTCCTATTGATGTTGATCTTGATGATGATGAAGAAGAAGAAGAAAATGCTTACCATAACTCTAAAGTTGGTACTGAAGAAGCTGAAAATGCCACTGGACAAGGTGGATTTGCTACAGCTGAAGATTTCACCGAACCTAGTTCATTTACTAGAGCTGAAAATGTCACTGGACCTAGCGTATTTAATGAAGGAGAAAATGTTGCTGGTTCTGAAAATGAACATGATGGATCCCGAAAAAGTCATAAACAAGGTGAGTATTCTAAAAGATCATCTTCTAATGTTAACGAGAAAGAGAAAAGCAAGAAAAGGAAAAAAATAGTAGAGGATGATAGTGAGACATTTCTTAAGGGTATGATGGAAGTTATGAAAAGCTTTACTGAAAGTCAAGACAAAAGAATTGGTTCCTTGATTGAAAAGATGGGGGATCGTGATCGAGCTGATGTTCGTGGTCAAGTTTATTCTATCCTTGAATCCCCTGTATTTGAGTTGTACACCAAAGAGCAACGTATAAAAGCTGCAATGATTCTCTGTAAAGACGACAAAAAGATGGAATTATTTTTACGTATGGGTGAACATGATTGTCAGACAATGATGTGGATGGCTGTCCATGATAAACTTTGAAGTACGGTGAACTTGTGATATAAGTGGCTACACTAGTTTAGTAATTTTTGCTTGAAATCACTTCGAAGTGTGACAACAATGGCATATTTTGACATCTCCGATTATTAATGTGCGCATGAGCATGTTAAATCTTTTTGTGTAACTAAGTTTTATCAAAATATCTCAACTCTTGTGTCAATGCTAAGTGTAGATGTAATTATATAGTTGTCGTTACAGCTCTTCAAATTCTCGTGTAGCCATTTAATTTTGAGATTCTGAAATGCAATTATATAGCTGCTATGACAGTTCTTTAATCTGTCCTATATTTCTCTGTCTTGTTTCTGTTTTCCTTTGTTAATTTCTCTATGAGTTGATGGTTCATAGCTGCTGTGATGCTCACTGGTATTGAGATCCAGCTAATCATTGATTGGTTGATCCTCTTTTGTTTTTTTCTGTTTTGGGGGAAGGGAGTTACGAGCTCTCTTTTCTTGCCACCTCCTTTCTAAATTTAAGAAAAAAAAGTAAATGATTCTGGCAGTAGCAGCTGGAACATTGCATCAGTGGGACAATTAATATGGTAGATTGTAATGAATAAGGAAACCTTGTGGGTAAAAATGGGTACATGGAATTTATCTTAGAGAGGAAACCTCGATATGGAGTCACAGGGCACCTATTGATAGTAGTTGGTATTGGAGGAAGCTTAATGCAATAAAGGAACAGATACATGGCTGGTATTGCAAGGGAACAAGTTCCTCTACAGGCAACTGCAGAATCATCAACTGGAAGCAGAGGAGTAGTTGCTGGTGCTGGAATGGGGAAGCAGTGTATTTGTTCACCAACAATCCATCCAGGCTCGTTTAGGTGCAGGCATCATCATGCTGATTATAAATGGGTTGTTCCACAAGGAAATAAGCAGAATCACTTTGGTGCTTCTGTCGCCAAGGCTTTATGACAATTCTGCTGTACAAATTCGAATTGTCATTTGTAATTTTTCGTTTTTTAATAAGATGTAGATGATCTTGTTCGTACGTCTCAAATATTTACTATGTCCCAATTTATGTGAAACTATTACGAGTGTTTAGTTACAAAAAGAGATTTGCAATTATTATTTTTGTGATATGTGAATTTAAATGGATAAAAGATGTATGGCAGGGGATAACACAGTGGACAGGCATAACAATGACAAACAATGGGATTAAACAAGTTTTGGAGAGAACAAAAAGGAAGCATTGGAAACAGTTTCAGAAAGAGACATTTGCAGCTATATGTGGGGCATGTACATACAGAGGAGGCAGTAGCTCAGATAAAAAAAGAGATTATAGAGAGAGTACAGTTCTTCAGTAGTTCAAGGAAAGCACAAAAATGTAAACGGTTTATTCGATTACTTAGTAGTTAGTTTTCTTGTTTGTTGGAGGCCTAGTTTCTGATATCAGAAATGGGTACTCTTTATTTGTATTGGTATTTTGTGGTAATGGAAATATTTTACATTTCTAGAGTGTACATGATGGATAAGGAGAGTATCAAGCAATAAAAGTGTAGCTAGGCGTAGTTTGATCTCTTGCAACTGCTTGCGCAGCAAGTTGATGTATTTATGGAATTGAGGTCTTGATAATAATGTGGACTATGATCCTTGGTTATATATTAACAGATAATTGGTTGTTTTTTTGTTTTGATGAAGAGCAGATACTTGGTTATCCATTAGCAGATACTGAATTTTTTCCACGTTTTGTTACCAAAAAAAAAAATTGACCTCATTGATGAAATTCATTTTGGAAATCTACTAATAATGGAGCTGGCATCTTCTTCTTCTTCTTCTTTTTTTAATCTTATTTCAATATAGTAACAACTATTTAATTTTATATTTGAAAAAAAAAAAGAATAGGAGTAAATAATGTTTTAGCAAAAGAACCTTGTTGCAAAGGAAGTGTACAAAGAAATAAAGTGTGAAGGGTATTTTTGTAAACATACATTTTTTTAATAGACATTATGCAAGATTTGTTATTTCTAATACATCAAACCAAACAGTGTATAAGAAATAATGCAGACATAACTAATGCAAGCATTACTAATGCAAGCACTACTAATGCAAGCATTACTAATACACCCTATTTTGCATTATTTGTATACACTCTACCAGACGACCCCTCAATGATTTAGGTATGAAACTCAAAAAAATGAGATAATTTAAGTGTGTTTTAGACATTTATCTCAAAATTTTAAGTATTCTTCAATTTTAAAGTTCTCATTTTATCCTTAATAATATCAAATTATATAAGTTGAAACTATATCATATAAAATGAGACGGAACAGGGGCTAGCCTAAACTCAAATATCTAACTGAAGAAGGGGCAAGTGGAAAGACCCAAACCCGATCTATAAGGAACTAATCGGCCCGGAAAGTGTTGCAGCGTTTATGCGAGTGAACGTGCAGACAGGTATTGTTTATGGGACTCACGCTTTTACACTCACTCGACGTGCTCTAATACAAACGCTCTTTCGCCATTGAAACCCAAATCCAGAAAACGGAACACCGATCAAAGATGTGGAGGCGTTTCACTTCACTCCCTCTATTCTTTTCGCATCTTCAACAGGTAATTTTACTTCACAAATTGATCAAATCTCTTTGGTTTTGCTGCTGCAAATCTCTCAATATTGTTCTCAATTACTCTAGGTGAGAAGAGCTGATGAGCTGAAGATTTGTCAAGCATTTTGTACTGAAATTGTCAAACCGCCGGTTATTCATTCTCTCTCTCTCTCTCTCTCAATATCTTCTATTTGTTTTTTTATCATCACTGAAATGTTTTTTTTTCTACAAAATATTATTGACTACTGTTTTTCTCCCTTTGAATGCATGTAGGTAGAAGGTGAAAGTAATTCCAGAAGAAATAACCCTTTTGTCGCTTTTGTATTGGGTAATTAATTTCACATTTTAGTCCATTAATAACTGTGCACTATTCGGACACTAAAACCTAATCTCCTTTATCTCTTTGAAAATTTGATTAATCTATCTCTCATGTGATCTCAGTTAAATCTATCCTGATTGTAGCTCATCTGAGATAGATATCACTCCAACCTCTTAAGTAGACTGTGCTACTCTTTTGTTGTTGTTTGTTGAAATATTTTATTTTTCTGCTGTTTTTCCGGGGGGGTTTTGGTCCGGGGCAGGGTGAGAGGGGATGTAAAAATACAAGTTTTTTTTTTTTTTTGATAATTTTGACACTGGTTTTCATTTTTGATAATCGTGGTGTTCGGGTCATTGTTGTGCACCTCAACTAATTCCATGTAATTTGCTTTTGTGCACCTCTACTAATTCCCATGGAATTCCTGCCACCTCCTAGCACAAAAGGTACCAGAGTAGGTACCAAGTAATTCTGTCCACCAAGGCTAGGACAGATGACAAGAAATCATCTAGTGTTTTTTGTCTTTGCAGAATTTGACTTTGAGACCTCATGATTCTCAACTAATTCTTATTTAATTATGTATAACATTAAGCAAAAGATAATGAGGTACAAAAGATTTCCTTATGGCGAGGTGGACTTCTTCATGATATTGATTAGGTCACTCTTGTTGGAATGAAGAGAATATGTCTAGAAGTAACATGTCATATTGCTTATTATGTCTGTTGTTGAGCTACCTATGCTCATATCACTTTTTTTGTTTAAACCAGTTTTTAATCCTTAATGTTGCGACATTTTGTCAATCTTGCACATGCTTGTGTGATCAGAAAATTGTCAAGTTTGCTAAAGAGTCTGCCTTCATCTCATTCTTTGCTAGTTTGTAGTGGAAAGTGAATAAACATAGGTTCCTTTGCAGACAACCTATAATATCAGTTTGTTTAATAACTATGAGGGAATTAGTTGATTCTTTCCTTCTTAATGAACAGTTTTCATCTAAAATCACATGATTATACATGAGAATAGACAAAATGACTAGTTATACTAGATTATTTGGGTAAAATATAGAATTACTGAGCAGTTTTTGCTGTCCTTTTAGGAGGTCCTGGTAGTGGTAAAGGCACTCAATGCCTGAAGATTGCTGAAACTTTTGGGTTCGATCACATAGGTGCAGGAGATCTATTGAGGAAAGAGATGCATTCTGACTCTGAGAATGGGTATGAACTCCATGTTTCTCATTGTGGATTTTTAGTTCATTTCCCGAAAAAATTTGTAATATCGTTCAGCCTAAATTCAGTGCCATGATTCAAAAGTTAATGAAGGAAGGAAGTATTGCTCCATCAGAGGTGACTGTCAAGCTGATTAAGAAGGCAATTGAATCAGCTGAAAATCGTAAGTTTCTAATAGATGGTTTCCCAAGAAGTGAAGAGAATAGAGTGGCGTATGAGAGGATTGTAAGTTTCTTTAATTAGATGCTTCTCTTTTCTTATTGTAATGAGCATTATCTATTAAGTTATTCTCTAGGAATGTTTAGTTGTTTAAAAGGAACTTTTGCTAGTTTACCCACTGCACTGTGAATGCAGTGATCCTGTGGTTGATTGTTAAGATTTTGAAGTTCAGATGTGAATGCAGATTGGTGCTGAACCAAACTTTGTGCTTTTCTTTGATTGTCCTGAAGAAGTAATGGTCAAACGAGTATTGAACCGGAATGAGGTGATGTTAATACTTATTAAAAGAAAAAATGAATGCCATATGCTTTTATGTTTTAGTTTCGTTCTGAAGAGGAAAAAGATAACATAACATTTTGTTTTCAGGGGCGAGTTGATGATAATGAACATACAGTCAAGGAGCGCCTAAAAGTATATAAAGCTATAACTCTTCCAGTAGCAAACCACTATGCCAAGAAAGGAAAGCTTTACAAGGTACTCTCTCCGAAGGGTGACAAGTAGTTCAAAACTGTCCAATTTCTGCTCAACGGGCCTTTTTTATTCTCCCCTCGTTTCCCTTTCATATTAAAAAAAAGGTGCAATGAATTTGTCAGTGGTTTTTGTTGACTTATCCTGCTCAGCTGGAACCAAGCTACTTATTGGTGTAGCAGTTTTTATTCATCAACAAATTCTTGCAGGTCGATGGTACTGGAACTCAGGAAGAGATATTTGAACGAGTCCGTCCAATTTTCGCTTCATTGAGGTATATTTTGTGTTCTCCTGCTGCTATGTTGCCAAGTATATATTTGCATCAAGATCATGATTTTTCTGAATTGATCTATTCCTTCTTGCAACTGTGTTTTCTTCCTAATTAGGATATTGCTCTAGCTTGATATCTTCTCTCTTGTAGACATGTTTATGGCTCCATTTTTTCAATTTAGCAGGTTGTCGACATAAATTGATTCCTACAGAAGCAAGTGATAGTAATTAAAGAAGTTGAATTTGCTGTAGAAAAGCACACTAGAATGTAGATCAATTCATGGAAGATAAAGTGAAAAGGCTAATTGCTAGTCCAAGTTTTGCTATTTGTTCCTGCTTTTCTGGTGAAAAATCTAGAGTCAAACTGCCAATCGTGAAGATAAAATCCGCCTCCTCTGTTGCCAATCTTTAGGCAAACCAAACCTACCAACTAATATAGATGATACCTCTCATCCAGCAAGTTTACTGTTTGTCCTTTTCTTTTCCTTTTTGTTGTAATTGTTACACATTACGTTTACTTCTTTCATGCTATAACCAGTATTGCATACACACACGCGACATGCATAAGAATAACAGTGTTCAAATACATTATTTCTGCAGTTGAGAGTCCTGCAAATTGTGATAATTTCATGGAAGACGTTGTAAAATAAAATTACAGGCAATTTTAATGATCTCTGTCCAATCCGGGGCCCATATGTAATGCATTTGAATAAATTGGGGTGGAGGGGGTGGTTCCTGCAACTTGCTTTTTGAAGAATGAACATTTAAGGTAGTCTATGTATGGTATTATGCTGTTATTGGATTTCTAATGTTTAAGCACATTAGACAGTGCTTCACGAGGTAGTGGTAAGGTTTGCATACCATCCCCGTATTTCACTGGAATGTTGTTGTTGTAAGCACATTGGACAGTAAATAACTGTGATCTGATTATGAGAGAAAGTCAGAAATGGCCAATTATATCTGCAGTTCCTTATACGCCATTAGATTATTTAACTGACTTATGATTTGTTCCATCTCATTTCTAAGTGAGTATGTGGAATACCTTAATATCATTATGGAAATGTAACCTTTCACCACCAATTAAATTTGTATAGCATTTCAAGATTATGAAATTTTAGCTGCTATGGGATCAGATAACAAATCTTTATGTATTCTGTATTATATTATCAGCCCAATATAGGAGCTTATAAGTTAAAATACATACAGAAGGATATGTAACAGAGTGTATATGTAGTGTATGACCAAGCAAGATCCACAACAACACCATTGTTGTAGCCCTTATAATCCATAGCTTCGTTTTAGACAGCGGGAAAAGTATACAACTCTTCAGTTTCTCCACACAACTATCCCCATTACAACCAATCCTCACCTCCTTTCCCTCTCTTCTATTCCTCGCGCTATTCTTCACATCCCTCCAATACACTCTAATTGCAATTTATATTTCTCTCTATCTCAACACCAATTATCAGATTATACAAAAGAAAAAAGCCTATGTCTTTCAGATAGTTTAGGATCCAGAAACTCCCCAGCTCAGCAAGCTTACTCAACTGTATAACACACTGTCCGACATAAAATAGTCCATTTTTAATCAGACATTTATTCAGACTCATACCAACAAAATCTGAATCAAACTTGGAACCAACAAACTATTCGATTCACGTCCAATACACCTTTGCCATAACCAAAAAACGAAAAAATTGAATGCTCACCTCTACTAAAAGGTAGCAAAGCATTGATTCAACATCCTAATCTGCAATATGTATAATCATATTATATTTCAATAAATTTCTGTTTATGCTGAAATGTAGTATATATCACGGAGGTTATGGATCTCTATTCCCTTAACAAAGAAACGGATTTTGTAATTGTTACAATGGATAGTTTGGAAGAAGTAAGTTGCATATATGACGTAAAACACTTTTTGAGCTATTTCATAGCATGTAGCAGTGGTAGGATTTCTACAATTTTGGATCGTTAGTAATACTCATTAGTTTACCCCCATCTATTTGAATGATCGGTCTCAACTCAGGAACTCCAACTAATCTCGTCTAGCAGCAACATGGACCACAGTCCGCCTCTCCATGATCAGTCGAAGAAATATCATCAAAGTGCAAAGGCCAAAAGCTAGCCAAGGTTGCCGGCCAGTCCCAAACTCTTTGGCAAGAAAAACAGTCATGTCACAGAGTCCATGGAGTATATCCCAAAATCAGTAGCCAGCGGCCTAACCATCATGAGTACACAGAAATAACTCGCAGTAGACATTAAGACGAACAAAGGTACATCAACATGAGGGTTGTTTTTCTGCAGGATCGAGAGTGGGTGTGTGAAGATGAAGAAGGCCACCATCCCTGGAATATCAAGATCATCAGCATCAGTGGGAGGGCCAATGTTCAGTACCGGAAGAAAACCATGGACTACAAACAGTCCGCCCAGTAGTATAGCGACAACTGTGCAAACAAGCCACGCTGTGTGGCCAAGAGCAGCTATACCCACAGTCAAGAAAAACACTGCGGATACAGCCCAAATCTTCTTCTCAAGATCCATTTTCTTTTCTGAAATGCGTTTGAATTTGGAAACAAGAAAGACAATCAGAACAAGAACTCATATGATGAAAACATGGATTATGATATTGAAATTCAGCTAATAACTACAACAACAATAACAGACCAGTGGAGTCAGACCTTACCCCTACCTTTGTGGGGTAGAGAGGTGGTCAAAGATACACCCTCGACTCAAGAAACTCGTTTTTCAGAACAAGTTTGAAAAACTGCAAAGCTGTGATGAAAATATTGAAGAAATGAAGTACTACCTACAAAATAGTGAGGATAACCAAAGTAAAAGTGGAGCTAATTACTACTCCTACCAGTTTACACTTGAAACCAAAAAAAAACTACAGAAAGCTAAAATTTCAAACCATGGGAAGACTAAACTCTATCTAGCAGAAGATTCTTTATACCATGGGCATTAATTCAATACTCTTTTCATTCCAGTTCATGTTACATTATTTTCTTTCTAGCCACCAAAATGCCTCTTTAATAAGGTGATGGCAACACAAATGTTAGATATATAGTAACTTGTTCAATGAATCCACCTCTATCCTTGAATTCAAGCAAACCACGGTGTTATTAATACATGAATAAGCATGGTTAAACACAAAACTGCCCTGAATACACCAAACCGAACACCGGATAAAAAATAGTCCCAATCATAATATTACTAATCCCAATATGGCTAATGCATGCTATTCTATATACTATTATTATACTTATACAGTATACCAAAAGAGCCGTGCCCTGATTATTTCAAGCCTTCCGAAATTCTGTGTGACTTAACAGAGACTCATGTAAAAGGATGGAGATAAATCAATTTACAACAAGAGTACTGCACCACAATAATGGCCAAAAATTTCATCGGGGAAGAGAAACCAAACAGTTGGGTTTGGCTACAGCAGAATGGGGTTTAAGGGTTTTAGAATTTTGGTATATTTTTTTTTCTACATCAAAACAAGCTAAGAAGTAAGAACAACAAAAATCAAAACTAATATAGAATTATAGATACATACTACTTCTAAACTAACAAAATGGTATCCGACTAAGTGAATTCCGTAAAGAAGGAAAAGCTAAAATCGAGGAAGGTGAACAAGAAAAGTATTAACATATCTCATTCCCAAGAAAATTAGCATGAAGTTGACTAAAGTTTAAAGCAAAAAATATACATAAAAGGCAGAGAAAATGGACCTTCAAGAACTCTTCTTCTTCTTCTCTGTTCGAGCAATTTTCAGGGGAAACTGTTTTAGTGAGCAGAGAAAAGAGGGATTTTGCAGAGGTTTATAGTACGTAAAACGGCCCAACAGAAATAGCTCGTCTCTTTTTTTCTTTTTTTCTTTCCGTGTTTCTGCTTTCCATTTTATGATTCTATTTCTTATCCATTTTTTTCTGCCAATGTTTTAGGTAGGGGTGGACGTAATTTTTTAAAACTTTGGTTCCATTGATTCATTGATTGATTTTCGATTTTAAAAAAGAATCAAATTCGTTCGATTCGATTTTATAAAAATGATTTTTCAAATGAAATAAATTATGATACATAGAGAATTAAAGAGTATAATTAGAGTGAAATCACGATATTTCAAATAATAATCAATCAAGTATTCAAATTATAGTTGACTAATATAATTGTGTACTCTCTTTGGTTCATTTTATTTATCATGTTTTATTTTTCATACTCCTAAACAAAGCACTAACTATAAGGTAATTTGACTAATTTATCGCTCCGATCAATTTGATACTTCCCTTGTTGGTATTACATTCATATCTCTTCATATTTATGAGCAAAGATAAATATAGAAACAATTAATTATACCTCAACTTTTTTAAATGACAATTATTTTACTATATCATATGTATTTTTTATAAGGACAAGTACAATCATGGGGAATACTAATTAATTTCAACACTCACAAGACAGTGTTGAAGAATGAACATTTAAGGTAGTCTACCTATGGTATCATGCTGTTATTGGATTTCTAACATTTAAGCACTTTGGACAGTGCTTCAAGAGATAGTGGTAAGGTCCGTGTAACCATCCCTATATCTCACTTGTGGTATTTCACTGGTATGTTGTTGTTGTAAGCACATTGGACAGTAAATAACTCTGATATTCTTATGAGAGTTGGTCGCAAACTAATTCAGTTCGATGTTTGATACACCCTTTGCTATAACCAAAAACCAAAAACCTGAATGCCCACCCCTACTAAAAAGTAGCAAAGCATTGATTCGACATCCTATGTAAGTAAAACTGTGTTATATTTCAATAATTTTCTGTTCATGCTGAAATGTTAGATATCACAGAAGTTATGGATCTGTAGTCCCTTAACAAAGAAAGAGAACTGGGAATTGATTTTCTAATTGCTACAATGGATAAGTTGGAAGAAGTAAGTTGCATATATAAATGATGTAAAAACACTTTTTGAAGCTATTTCATAGCATGTAGAAGTGGTAGGATTTCTCCAATTTTGTATCGTTAGTAAGTCATAATTCTAATTCATACTCCTACTAATCTCGTCTAGCCCGCATTTCCATGACCACTCGAAGAATTATCATCAAAGCGCTAAGGCCGGAAGCTAGCCAATATGGCCATTGAGTCCCAAACTCTTCATTGGCAAGAAAAACAGTCATGTAAAAGAGTCCATGGAGTAGCCCAAAATCAGTCGCCAGCGGCCTAACCATCATCAGCACACAGAAATAACTCGCAGTAGACATTAAGAGGAACAAAGTTACATGAACGTGAGGGTTGTTTTTCTGCAGGATCAAGAGCGGGGGTGTGAAGATAAAGAAGGTCACCATTCCTGGAAAATCAATAGCACCAGCATCAGGGGGAAGGCCAATGTTCAGTAGCCGAAGAAAACCATGGACTACAAACAGTACACCCAGTAGTATTGCGATAACTGCGCAAACAAGCCACGCTGTGTGGCCAAGAGCAGCTATACCCACATGCAGTCAAGAAAAGCACCGCGAATGCAGCCCAAATCTTCTTCTCAAGATCCATTTTCTTTTCTGAAATGCGTTCAAATTTGGAAACAAGAAAGACAATCAGAACAAGAACTCATATGATGAAAACATGGAATTATAATATTAAAGATAGATCCCAACACAAGAAAATCGTTTTTCAAAACAAGTTTGGA